GTCGCTAGATTTAGCGACTTTTGGCCATCTCTGGCGACTAAAACCTCATCTAGCGACTTACCAGCTTTTCAGGTGAATCCGGCGACTTTAAAAAAACACATCCCTTGAGTGTCAAAATCATTGTTTTTCAATGTAACTTCAGCTCTGCACCGCAACCAGAAGCTTATTTCATGGTTAAGCAGCACTGCGCATTAGCCCCGATCTCGAATCTGTACCCTTTGGGATTGTCAACATAGCCATGTAGACACATTTTCTTTAGCTCAGTGAGTCGTGTCTGATGTTATGACATCATAGTAACGTCATGACATAATCTAGCAACTTTTCAGAGAACCAATAGCAACTATTGGTGATTTGTTTTTGGCAACACTACCAGTATCGTGCATAGTGCTCTGATTGTTCTGCTGCAAGTATGTGCAGTTGCGCACGTAAATTAAAGGGGACCTGCCATCAAAATTTCATACCCATTTTTATCATTTTTTCATAACCCTTGATGTCCTCTGATCATGTTTGCAACATAATTTTAGCTGAAAAATTATTTGATGGTTTGTTTTAGTATGCCTAAAAAACCTTACAGGAAAACCAATTGATTTTGGCTCATTAACATTTATGGTAATGACCTTTGCTCTGATTGGATCGCTGCTGTGAAGCCTGCTGTGCTCTGATTGGCTCAGCAGTGGAGGTTCGGATTTTGGTTTATCCATTTTGCTAATGTGTGCTAAAGTAAGGTGCCCAGATGTCTGTAATGATATCCGGGGATATTTGATGCGGCGGCGGTGCAGGGGCTGCAGGGGCTGTGTGATCACAGACAAAATCTCGGTACTATTTAGTAGCAGCGCATGCCCCTTGTAATAAGCCCCTTAAAAACTGTTGTTCAGGACTGCTTACTTGTGCTTCCTACCTATTCGGCTACTATAATAACCATTGTTCGAGCCCACACGCAACATTTTTGCTCTCATTCATGAAACGCTTAAATCGGGGACATTTTTGGGGACAGCTTTTGATGGGGACAGGTCATCCAATACGGGGACTGTCCCCGGAAATCGGGGACGTCTGGTCATCTTAGGCTAAAGGCTAAAAATGGCAGGTATTAAACCATACACTGTGTGCACAATTATTAGGCAAGTTGTATTTTTGAGGATAAATGTTATTTTTGAACAACTACAGTGCTCTCAGTCAATCCAAAATGTTAATAAACCTCAAACCTGAATATTTAAGGGAGTAAAAGTGAGATTTTGACTTCCTTAGGAGAATATCTATGTGTGCACAATTATTGGGGGCAGCTATTAGTGTGCAGAATTATTATGCAGCTAAATTAAAAATGAAAAATTTTCCATCTCACTGGTTTATTTTCACTTGTTAAAGTGAGAATGATAAACAAACAACTCAATTTACAAATAAAAATAGTAGAAATTAAAAAAAAAAAAATCAGTGACCAATATAGCCACCCTTCTTTTCATTAACAGTCATAAGCTTTCCATTCATGGAGTCTTTCAGTTTCTTGATCTGTTGACGATCAACTTTTTGTGTTGCAGTAACCAAAGCCTTCCAGACACTGTTCAGAGAGGTGTACTGTCTTCCTTCACTGTAAATTTCCCGTTTAAGAAGGGCTCACAAGTTCTCAACAGGGTTTAGGTCAGGTGAAGAAGGAGGCCATGTCATTATTCTTTCGTTTTTAAGGCCTTTACTGGCGAGCCACATAGTGGAATACTTTGTTGCATGCAATGGAGCATTGTTCTGCATCAAAATCATGGTTTTCTTGAAAGATGCAGACTTTTGCCTGTACCACTGCTTGAAGAAAGTGTCTTCTCAAAACTGGCATTGGATTTGGGAGTTGATTTTAAGTCCATCTTCAACTCGAAAAGGTCCACCTAGCTCATCTTTAATAATACCAGCCCATACCAGTACCCTGCCTCCACCTTGCTGGTGTCTGATTCGAAGTGGAGCTCTGTGCCCATTACTGATCCAGTCACGGGTCCATCCATCTGGTCTGTCAAGAGTCACTCTCATCCCATCAGTCCATAAAACCTTTGAAAAATCTCTCTTCAGATATTTCTTGGCCCAGTCTTGACGTTTCAACTTGTGTCTTGTTCAGTGGTGGTCAGATTTCAGCCTTCCTTACCTTGGCCATGTCTCTGAGCACTGATCATCTTGTCCTTCTGGGCACTCCAGGTAGGTTGCAGTTCTGGAATATGACAGCACTGGAGGATATTGGGTTCCTGGTAGCTTTACGTTTGAGTCCTCTCAAATCTTTGGCAGTTAATTTGCGTCTTTTTTTCTTAACACATTTCTTGTGACCCTGTTGACTATTTGCATCAAAATGTTTGCTGATTCTGTGATCACGCCCAAATATCTAATCAATTTCAAGAGTGCTGCATCCCTCTGAAAGACTTTTTACATTTTTTGACTTTTCGGAGTCACTTAAATCTCTTTTTTGGCCCATTTTACCTGAGGAAAAGAAGCTGCCTAATAATTATGCACACCTTGATATAGGGTTTTGATCTCTTTAGGCCCCAGCCTCCCTCATTACACTACCTGATATGCTTATATCCAATAAGCATTCAAGTTTATACAGCTTGGAGTTGGAAAATATGCATAAAAATGACGATATGATCAAAATACTCACTTGCCTAATAATTGTGCACACAGTGTATATTTTAGACCCCGAGTCCGAAGAGGAGGTGGAAGTTGAAGAAGAAGCCAGAGATCTCCAGCGGTGTTTTCTCATTCATTCTGCCCAGCCTTAAGTTGATTTTCCCGGCAGTGAACCCAAGGAAACACCGGTCGTTTGGAAGAGACCCATAGCGGATACAGTGGTAGCTGGGTCTCGCTCTGACTGTGAATGAGTATGAGAACGAGAGAGTGGGCGCGGCTCACCGAGGACGCGCTTGTGAATAATAATTAGCAAGGTCAGCGCGACGTCAGAGGGACCTGGTTTTTCAATTGGCCTGGTTTACCCGTTCCTTTATTTTAAACCTTTACAGAATGCAAACGACGTAACGGTTTGTTTTCACATTTACAACATAAGACGAACATAATATGGACCTTATCTGACACAAAAAACACACAAAATTACATTTTGATGGCAGGTCCCCTTTAAGTCACACAGCTAGCATATTCTGGACCTTAGGGCTCACTGAAAGGACTTTCATTCAAAACCCTTGGTAAAACAGAGGCCCTTTAAGAACATTTGTAATCAGAGGGCTCTCTTAACAGTATGCTCTCCCTAGGGCCCCCACATAGCCAGAAGTCACGACCCTTAGCAGGGGCCTTCATAATCATAGGGCCCTCTGAAAGCATTCCCCCCTACTTCCTTGAACCCCTAGTTGGTAAACGTTAGGGCTCCCTTAGGAGTATTCACGAGAGGCACTACAGCAGGGCCAGCCCAGGGGCCCTCTGACTGCCGTCCCCCATAGCCCAGGGGCCCTCTGATTGCCGTCCCCCGTGGCCCAGGGGCCCTCTGACTGCCATCCCCCAAAGCCCAAGGGCCCTCTGATTGCTGTCCGTGTCCCCCCCCCGCCCAATTCATATCACCCTTCTCTCTCGGTTCTCTTCAGATATGCCCTATAACAGTGTGAGTAGTCATAAGAGCCTAGAGAATAGAGGCCCTCTGACATCGCATTTGGCATCGGCATCTACATCGCTTTGCCCCCCCCCCCCCCCCCCCGCCAAAGGAGTACGCTAATGTTTTTGATGCAATACCTTCAGGTATTTTGAGTCTTGTCCGGGGATGTGAGTCCTTAGATGGAGGTCTTCAGTTAATATCAGCTCCAATGCTGGGAGGTTTAACCCTTACCGATAGGAAATGTAACAACTATTATATCAGGAGTCACTGTCAGGAAACATCAATTCCCTCTGTTAAGGCTTTCTGGGAAGCAAAAATTTAAAGCATCAAATGGAAATTAGTATGGACTTTCAAATTAGTAATAATATAATAAATAAAAAATAATAAATAATAATAATAAATAAAAAATACTGTGTCACCAATAAGATAAGAGAAGTCTCGTTTAAAATTGTTCATAGGATTTACCCAGTCAAAAAAATATTGTCAAGATTTAGAGAAATGGATGAAATGTGTGTATTTTGTAAGAGTGAACCAGAAACTGAGATTCATTTATTTTACAACTGTCCTTACGTTTAATTGTTCTGGATAGATATGGAAAGATTTGTGAAAGACAGAATGTATATCAGTATTTGCCTTGATATAAAAGACATTATTTTGTATTTTGAAAGAAGTTTTGAATGCAAAATGATTTTTTTGTTAAACCTTTTTATATTATTTGGAAAATTTTATGTGCACAAATCAAAATTATCTGGAAAAAAACCCCGCTTTCAACAATGGAATTCAGACATTATATTGGGACATTGACAGGACTCAAGAAGAATCAAAATGCAATCAAAACTGTGCAAATATGTGAAGCCTTAGGAATTATATGATTTATGTTATGAACTTACCAGAGATACCCTGAATATTTTTTCTGTTTCTTTGTAAATTACTGTACATTTGTAAATAGTGTGTGGTGGAATAAAATAAAAAAAATAAAAAAAAGCAGTAATCCTGTTTCATAGAATAGGCCCCAGTGCTTTATGGGGCCCCTTTTGGCTGAATGTCTTTTATCTTATTGTCTTATTTTGTCCTGAAAATCATAAAAAAAACAATTTATTAAAATAATATGGAAATAAAATATCTTCAAACACACTTTACCTTTGTCCCCCTCAAAAATAGAAGAAAAAATCTCACTCCAAGCCAAATAAAGACTTGTGAGAGCCCTATCAATGTTGCGGGTTAGAAGCTGCACCGACATAAAATATTCTGCCTTTAAGTAGTTCACTTTTTAAATTTATTTGATTGTACCTTCTGCAAAGCTGTTGATCTCGGCATATGACACAACGGCATACATGCGTTCTTTGAAAATGTTGCCTTCTCTGTTTTATGCCATTTGTAATGCTCAATAAATAAAGTTGAAAAAACTTGCAGTAAAGTTTCAATGTTTACAAATGTTGACAGTTGCATTGTGGGAAAAAGATGATTGACACGGCCGCCATTTTGCTCGAGTTCTTTGCTTCCATTGTGTGAGAGATAGTAAATATCTGACACTGTCAGACAACCACAACACATCAGTGTCCGTGCGGAGGAAAAGCGTGAAATTTACCCTCGGTAAGGAAACATTTCCTCACAATTTTGACACATATCAGCGTGTTAGTGTTTTGATTAAAAAACTGAGTGGATTAAGGTTGTTTTAGTGCGTCAAATTCGTGTTATTTCGACGCTGTTGAAAGGAGGAAAGCAGCTGCCGCGATGCCCGGGCACAGAGAAGAAACGACCCTCCACCGTCGGAGTATCTACTCCACTTTTAGGAGCCATTTCCACCTCACTGTAAACGCCTTTGAACACAATCGTTTCAAACGCTCGGATGCTTATTGGATAGCTGCACTTGTTTTCAGTGTTACGGTCGTCGTCTCGAGCGAACACGTTGTTTAATTTATTTTATTTTATTTTTTAAAGGAAAAATGTCATAGTTTACGTCCTCCTCATCGCTAGTGTGTAAGTAGGTTCCTTTCGGTCTGCGGCCATAATGTTGTTGTAGGGGGTGGCGCCAATGCTGCTTGTCCCGCCCTCAACCTTGCAGACTGAACCGCGATTGGTCGCATAACTCGACACAGGCTTAGTCGATTGGCGTATTTCACGACAAAGAGCTGTATAAGCATGTGATTGGTGGAGGTGTCCTGGCTGGTGTTTGTGTAGCAGCCAAACTGGAGGAACGTAACATAACTGAACACCATAGACTCTGAACTGCACGAGGGAAAACGAAAGTCCATTTATGTAAACGAAAAATAATATTACTTATTGAGAACTTAGTCATAAAAGATAATAATGTAGCCATAAAAAATGGGCTGTTAATTTGTTATTACTGTATTTTGCACACCTGTTTATCAGTTTCAGGGCTGTCATCATACCAGGATGGGGTAAATAAGATGGCCAAAGATGATCATATCATAAATTTTGACTCGGCTTGGACTACCAGCATCCAAGGATTTTTAGAAAAGTGACCCCTTTATTCACAAAATTGTGAATCTAAGTGTTTGTATAACTTTGTTTTCTTATAGATGCACCTTATTGTAAAGGTAAAAGCCCCCAGACTCCTCAGGAAAATCAACAGATTTCCATCTGTAATATGTTAGACCACAGGTGTCAAACTCAAGGCCCGGGGGCCAAATCTGGCCCGTGGAACAATTATATCTGACCCACAAGATCATATCATATTTGTTTTATTATTGGCCCACCAGTATGAAGTCTGCAGATTTCCTCCAGTATAATAATGTAAACTTTAGCACAATTATTTAAAATGTTCTTAATAAGCCACAAAAATCTGGGAAAATTAAAGAGTACTATTTGATAAATAGTCAGAATGTGGAGAAATTATTTGGTGTTTTATTTCATGTTTTCAATTTTGCATTTCAAGATTACAAATCAAACATGATTGGAATTTTTTATTTCATGCTTTGATTTTGTTCAACTCAATATTTAGACTTGTGTCATTTTTATACTTTAGATTTCAATTTTAAATTTTAAGTCATATTTTGACCTTTTGATCCTGATTTTAACATTCTCCACATGTATTTGCTTTTTAAAAGCATTACTTTTCTATTTTTAATATCATGCTCTGATCTTTTGAACTAATAAATAAAAATAGAATAAAAAAATCCATCTCAGATTGCTTTTAAACTTATCTTTTTATCTTTTTTGAATTTCCAAATGATTTATAACCATTGCTGTTTTTGTAACATATTTTTGAAAAGGAGGTTGACAGTTTTGGTGAAACTCAGGTCCAAATATGTTTAATTATGCCAAAGGTTGAAAATACCATCACAAAACTTTGGGCACAGAGAGAGAGAGAGTGTGTCATTAACTTGAACATCTGTAAGTTCTGACATACAGTGGTTTTTCCTTGCTAGGTGACCCTTTATTGTAATGGCTCGTACCAAGCAGACAGCTCGTAAGTCCACCGGAGGAAAGGCTCCTCGCAAGCAGCTGGCCACTAAGGCTGCTCGTAAGAGCGCCCCCTCCACTGGTGGAGTGAAGAAGCCTCATCGTTACAGGTAACACCTTTATTACCATCACTCCGAAAAACAAAAACTCTAATCTAGGCCTGTCGCGATAATCAATAAATCGCCTTATCGCTCGATAAATAAAAACGAGGTCGATAACTTTGCCAGCCTCGATAATTGACGTGCGTTTGTATTCCTCCTCTCTTGCTACCAAACACGCTTGATGAGAGAAGAGGTCTCACTCTGCCCATTGTTCTCGGCACCTGGGGGCGTTGGCTCTATAGCGGAATGAACGGAGTTAGTGAACCCTCCTGTCAGTCATTCAGTGTCTTTGTCACGAGGGGGCTGGCGCGCACAGGCACACAGACACAGACTTTTTGGATACAGTGCTGCAAGTGAGCGTCGTGAGTGAAAAGCAAGCTAACAGAATGAACACGACAGCTTTGGTGTCTAAACCGAACGCAACAGCCCAAGTGTGGGAATATTTCGGCTTTAAACCAGTTTTGTTTTCGTCAACCACAAAACTCCACGTGTGTGTGTGTGCGCGCGTGCGTGTGTGTCTGTGTGTTGGAGGAGCACAGCAGGCTGATGAGAGCTGTCAGAGCGGACTGAAGCTGCTCCTGTATGTTTAGCGTTTAACTGACTGAGTTTTGCAACTCTGTTCGTCATTTTCGTCTCGTCCCATCAACGTAAACGCACTTTCGTCTCGTCACATTTTAGTCATCTCCGACTTATGTTTAGCTCGTCAACGTTACGTCTTCGTCGTGGGAGAAAAGGGAAATATTTTAGTCAACGAAAACAACCAGTGTTGTTCTCGTGTGGAAATTAAAGTTTATCACTTTTGACATGGTGTACTCGCATTAATATGCCATATAATATCATTATCTATAATTTAAAAAATGGTGTCAATAATATCGTTTATCGGCGATAATTTGTAGCACAATTATCGTCCAGCAAAATTTGTTATCGTGACAGGCCTACTCTAATCCTACCCAGTGTATAATTTGATTTCTTTGTCACATTGACCTGAAAGAAGAGTTGTTTGAAGACAGTCATGCCTAAAATGAGGGCTTAGTTGTTGTCAAAGTTTGTAAAAATATCTGCCAGTGTAGCAAGTGTAGTTTTTTCACAGGTTTCTTGAAACAAGATATCATATTATCATCAGGAATGTCAGAAAGAAAATGTTGCTGTTCGTTATATTTATTGCTGGGGCGATTCATCAACATAGTCGACGTACTTTACTACAAAAAATCGTCCACACAAAAAGACTTGCGTTGACGTGATGAATAATTACGTAGGTAATGGCTACTTCAGGTAACCGTGGAGGCATGGACGGCAAACGAGCTCCACCTAATGGGGTCAATTTAAAACCTACTTTAGCTTGATCTATGAGTAGCTCCTCTCAATCAGTGCATGTGTTCTTCCTGGCTTCCTGGTTCACATTTCCAAGATCGCACTGCTGTCATTCAAGGAGACACGCAGTGACCTGTCAATCAAATAACACACCGCTGGTGCAGCAAACGCCACAGTGGACGCTGCATCATCCGCCCAGCATCCCGTGTCTCACTCATTCGCTTTAAGCAGTTCGCTTGCAGTTCAAGCATCATTTTATGCTTTTATTTGTCTAATATTAATCAGCTGTGTGATCACTGATGATGTTTCGCTAATGCTAATACTCAGCCTGATCTGCCAAATGTATGTAAATGTATGTGAAAAGAATTTTCAAGGTGTGGAGGCTTTAGTTTAGCCAAGGCGGTGCGCCATGGATCAGTTTCATGAAGAGGAAATCCTGTCATACAGCACCATATCTTACTCAGCAATGTAAACAAACACTGTAAAGCCGTGTTCAGACCAAATGCGACCTGAGGCGACCAAGTCACGTAGGTCGGTCACGTCGCGTCACACCCTGGTGTGTTCACACCGGGTCCAAAGCTGCGGTCGCAGGAAGCGGCTGGTCGCCGCTGACCCGCTTCTCCCACCTTCCTTCTCCCTCCTTTTCTCCCTCATATACATCCCGCAGCCCCTTCCAGCGCTTGCGGCACACATCCACTGCAAACACACACACACACACACATTGAAACATGTAGCCTAGCAAGCAGGGGAAGTTTGCTATGTTTTCAGAAAATAGTCTGCTCACTGAAATAAATAAATAAACAAACAAACTTAACAGAAAGCCCGACATCATGGGCCACCTTCGCCCATGCCTCCTCCTTGGAGGTGTGGTCCCGGTACAACGCGCACCCCATGTCGTACAGGACCGGGTGATAATTCACGGCAGTGATAAACTGCTCCTCCAATGTGATTCTTCTTCTCCTCCTCCTTGCTTCGCCGATTTGTTGACTTCAGCAGAGCCCTGATTGGCTGTCGCAGCACGGAGTCGCTCCCAAAGTTCAAATATTTGAACTTTGGGAGCGACGCGACTTGGCGTCCTGTGACCTTGGGCGACGCGACGTCGGCGACCATGCGCGACTTGGTCGCCGATATCGCTGACGTCGCGTCGCCGGTGGTTGCCAAGTCGCGTCAGGTCGCGGCTGTCCATAGACTTTGCATTGGGAGTTGTTGCTCACGTCGCCGAGGTCGCGTTTGGTCTGAACACGGCTTAAGATGTGCCTTTTCCAGCCCTATTTTTATTATTAGCATTGTTATTGTTACTTTATTTAACAACCATTGTTGTTACGGAACACATTTTACAACAAAGCATTATTGCTGTCGTGCAAACATATTTAGGGTTTCTTACAATTAAATAATGAATATATGTCACGATAAATTAAATAAGTTCAAGCCCCTGTAATTCCCAGCCATGCAATCTTGTAATAGATTTTTTGTTACAAATGATTAGTTTTGCAAATATTTTGTCTCACACTTGGTTGAGTGGCACTGACTTTCTCACTATTAAATGAAAGATGATATGAATGTTATACATTGTTACTTGACAGTCATTGTAACTCTGAGTAAGGTGAGCATAGTGCTGGGCGATATGGAATAAAATGTATATCACGATATAGATCATTTTATATCACGATAACGATATACCACGATATAGCTATGGTATGCTTTCAGTTCTATGAAAAATGAAAGTGTATACAGCTGCCCTAGTACAGTGCCAGTACAAGACCAGCACTTAAAACTAGAAAAATGAATAAATAAATACGTGGCTGAAGTGCGTTCATGTCTGTGCTCACCCAAAGTTATGCAACACTTACAGAAAACGCCGAAAGTGTGAGCCAAAGCACTCCATAACAATAATAATAATAATAATAAATTTAATTTGTAATGCACTTTACATTTACAAAAAATCTCAAAATGCTACAGTGCACAGTAAAAAAAGAGCAGCAACAATAAAAAAGCAATAGAATGACAGTCACAGATTGGCATAAAAAAGCATAAAAGAATAAAAAAAATAAAGAATATAGAGTTGCAATGTAAGAGGCAAGGTAGTAAAAGTATAGAGGAAAGCTAACCAAAGGCTTTATTAAAAAGGTAGGTCTTTAGGGCTCTTTTGAAGAGGTTGTTCACACTGCTGGATGTTTCTCCTCCAAAGCTGCTCTCTGCCTCCGTCGCTGTTTGCTTTACTCTTGAAGCACGTAGCAAGACCCGAGCATGAATCCGAGCGCTTTATTCGCCTATCAAGGGCAGACAGGTAAGGTGATTTGATTCGCCACGACTCCAGAAATGATTGAAAACTACAGAATGTCACAAAATTACGTTTCCTCGCTCCTGGCTTGAAGGGTAGAAATGCGCAGCGGTGCTCCCAGCTGACAGGAAGTCAAACCACTGTTGTAGTTCTTTTGTGTTGCTAGCGCGGTCAAGAGTGTTGGCTCTCACTGAGAGATGACTACAAAAATGGACGCACCTGTTCATCTGGTTGTTTAACACGGCTGAAAATGATCATCTGTTAATGTTGTTCCCGCTCCTGCCCACTCCCGTTGCTTTTTTTGCCGTCCCGTCCCAATCAAGGGATTAATTAAAAAATGACTCCTGTCCCTTGGGATTCCCGCGAGAATCACGTGACCCACGGGAATTCCCGAAAAATGTCATCCTCTACAGGGAAGGTCCCGGAGCAGATGAAACAGGTGCCGGAGCGGCTGAAATAGGTCCCGGATCCGATCAAAAGAGGTCCCGGAGCGCGCTCCGGCTTGCTCTGGCACAAATTAAGCACTGCTTACAATGATCCCCTCACGTGTGTAACCCAGGTAACCCGCAACGGCGGGAGACGCTGGACACGAAGAGGGCACGTAAAGCGGCGTCATCTCGCAAAATCGAAAGACAAATGCGAGCCTACATGTCAACGCATCCTTTTCTTTGTAAGAAAATATTGTTTTCTTTCCCGTTTGACACCAAATACACTTATTGAATGTGCAATTATTGTTGTTGTTACTATGAATCATCTGATGGCACAAGCCCTATGGATAAAATACAGCCTATCGCTCGAAACGATAAAAATAGAAATGGCACGATAGACATTTTCTATCGTGCCCACGATATCTATCGTCCTATCGCCCAGCACGAGGTGAGCATGTACCTGATAAGGGAGGATGCTAAGTAACAATAACCCATCAGGCTGGTCCAACCACACAGGCTGGTTATCCAAAAATAGTATACCGCAGTTCACAGTATGTCACCCAGCTCTAAGTGCAAGCTTTTGGCTGAGTGTTTCTTACAGTTGACTTTAGATAAGCTAAAAAGCAATGATAGTGCTTTGTGAATGAAAAAAAACAATGATAAAGATGCATGTTTTTTGTTTTGTTTGATTTCAAGTGATTCTTGAATAATATAATATTATACAAAAATAATTGTTAGAATAATAAATAAACAAGTCAACAGATCAGTTGACTAATCAATAGGCCTGTCACGATAAAAAATTTTGCTGGACAATAATTGTGCTACAAATTATTGCCGATTAAACGATATTATTGACACCGTTTTTTAAATTATAGATAATGATAATATATGGCATAATACTGTGAGTACACCATGTCAGAAGCAATAAACTTTAATTGCTCAAGATTAAGAACTTTGAACTAGGATGAACATATATAATAAACAAAAAAGACAACCAAAAAACAATGAAAATAAAATGGACCCACATTCTGTTTTTATCAAAAACTGCATTCAAGTAAAAACCACAATCACAACTACAAACAATAAAAAAATAGACCTTGTCTCTGGTACGGAACAAAAACTTCACTCCACACATAACTGTTAAAACAATAAATAAAGTGGAGTGTCGAGTCTGTAAACAAAATTGCACTAAATAATTAGCTTTGGGTGCTATTCGTCAACAGGTCAACAAAGAACATGCATGCGCACCTCAAGCACAATCATCCCCGCGGATGATTGTGCTTGAGGTGCGCATGCATGTTCGTCGTATTCCTCTTCTTTGTCAACAAAACTTTCGAACAAAGGCGACACATCGTCCCTGTTCGTGGGCTCACCTCTTTCATTCTATTTGAAACTGAAATGTTCCCACACTGGGACTGTTGCGTTGGGCTTAGACACCAAAGCTGTCGTTTCATCATTCATTGCGTTTGCCCCGCACTCTGTCAGTAAGTCTGTGTGTGTGTGTGTGTGTGTGTGTGTGTGTGTGTGTGTGTGTGTGTGTGTGTGTGTGTGTGTGTGTGTGCCAGCTCTCCCCCCCACCGCGACAAAGAGAGGTTCACTCACTGCGTTCATTCCGCTATAGAGCCAACGCACCCAGGTGTCGAGAAAAATGCGCAGAGTGAGACCTCTTCTCTCATCCAGCGTGTTTGGTAGCGAGAGAGGAGGAAAACAAACGCACGTTAATTATCGAGGCTGGCAAAATTACCGACCTCATTTTTATTTACCGAGCGATTAGGCGATTTATTGATTATCAGTCAATAAAAATAATTGTTAGATTAATCAATAAAAAAATAATCATTAGGTGCAGCCGTAATCATATTGTTAAAATGCTATTTTCTCATTTCTGCTACATGTTGTTAATGCTCTCATTTGTCACATCACCCCCACAGCAGTTTTGATGTTCTGTTGTTAACTTATGTACTTTTGTAGCCTATAAGTACAGTTGAGGCCAAAATTATTTGCCCACCTATGAAAGTTTAAGATTTTCTTTCCATAATTTCTTGAGTGCTGTTCAACAGATTAATTTCCAAATATCCTAGTTTTATTTTGGATCCTTACATTATTGAACTTTTCACACAGAAACAAAATAATTTCACAAAACCCAAAAACTACCAGGGTCAAAAATATTAACCCCCCCTTAAGAATTGTAGCGATTTGAATTTATAATAAATGTCTGAAGAGTAATAATCTTCAATTATGACATTTATGCACTCGTTGAAGGGGCACCACCCACCTTTCTGGTAGGAAAAAGACAAAACAAAGTTCAATTGAATAATCAAACGTTCAATCAGTCTTAAACAGATTTAAATCAATCTCACATCTGAGGCCAGAATTCTCATTTCAGGGACTTCACTTCTGGATATTGACCACTAAGAGACGACAACTTAAAATTCAATGGGCAATTTATTGAATTTATGTTATCAACTAGCATTTGTCAATAAATTGTCCATTGAATTTTAAGTTGTCGTCTCTTGGATGATGCTCACAAAGCAGGAGAAGGATATAAAAATTTATCACAGCGTATCCAAGTGCAAAGTGGAGTGAGAAGTATCATCAAGAAATTCAAGGAGAGCCACACAATACAGAACAAGTCTGGAAGAGGTAGGAAGAGAAAGATTTCAAAGAAAACTGGTGGGAGATGTGTCTAAACAACCTAGAACAACTACCAAAACAGGAGTTGCTGACTTAGCCAAGTCAGGAATTATGGTGTCAAACAAGACAGTCTCTAGAGCACTAAACAGAAATGGACTGCGAGGATGCAGGCTAAGAAAAACTCCACCTTTACAAAAAAAACACCTTCAAGCCAGACTGAGGTATGCTAAGGACAAACTGGAGAAAGATTGTTCAAACTGGAGACGTGTTCTTTGGTCAGATGATACCAAACTAGACCTCTTTGGCCACAGAGACATTGCTTATGTTTGGAGAAAGAAGGGAGAGGCGTATAACCCCAAGAACACTGTCCCCACAGTTAAACACGGTGGTGGGAGTATCATGCTGTGGGGATGTTTCAGTGCATCTGGAACTGGGAATCTTGTCAAGGTTGAAGGAATAATGAAGAAAGAAGGATATGTGAAGATTTTGAAAGAAAACCTCAAGCAGTCAGCAGCAAAACTGGGTCTGGGTCGTCACTTTGTCTTCCAACATGACAACAACCCAAAACAGCGCTCCTGGTGAGGAGCTGCCTCCAGAAACCAAAGTGAACGTTATTGACTGGCCTGCACAAAGCCCTGACTTAAATCCTATTGAAAATCTGTGGGCTGCACTGAAGACCAGGGTCCATGCTAGAAGACCATCAGATCTGGAGGAGCTTGAAAGATCTGCCAAAGAGGAATGGGCTGGGATTCCACAGGAGATGTGCCAGAGCCTTGCTACAAACTACAGCAAACGACTGCATGCTGTTATCCAGAAAAAAGGACACACTATTGACAATTAGCCTGAGGGGGGTTATATTATATTAGGGCTGCAGCTATCGATTATTTTAGTAATCGAGTACTCTATCGATTAATCTGTCGATTAATCGAGTAATCGGATAAGAAATGTTTTGCTCTCACTGTAATACTTTGCATTGAATCACGTTTGAATCATGTTTTTCATTAAAAACCATCAGTAACACACAAAACTGAAATAGGCCAGGTCTTTCAAATGAATATTTTTACTGCATAAATCAGGAACCAAAAGTTTTACATTTTACCATGTAGTTCACATGAAACTACTGAAGGCAAGGTCTGCAGATGGTCTTTTAATTGCTATGGTAATGATCTTTGCAGTTTTCACTAAACCAGTCACAACTATTTCCAGGCTTTGGATCTAATTTTACTTGTTTAATTAATAGGCTGAAATAATATAATTCTTGGATACTAACATAATTTGACAAGCAAATGTACATTTATTCAATATATAAAAGTGTTACATTTTTATTTACATGTTGTTGTGTGTTGGTCATTTTGCAGCCCTCTGCTGCTCATCACACGCCTAGCAGGTGGTGTATAGCATTATCACCATGGATACACGGATGTTTGTGTGATTTTTTTCATCCACTGCCGCCCGGTTTGTGTCGTGTAGATGTTGATTATGAAAACACTTCGCAATAATTTGGAAACGTGAAGGGGGAGCTGCTGCTGCCCGGTGTTTACGGTAAATAGACGCAAACACCGACCAAGTGGACGCTTCGGTCTCCGAAAACGCCGAGACAAATTTACAAACAGCCACTATTTCAAACAACTGGGCTCATAATCGTGATGTAAACACTTACTTTCTCGCTAGAAAAAATATTATTATTGAATGAATTTATATAATTTGTCCGGTATGCAGTCGTTCTATGTAGCTTGTGGTAGGACTATTTAAATTTTCCCGGCGCTGCGTCCGGCCGGCACGAAATGCATTCTGGGGTATTTAGTATGTATGTGTGTAAACGCTCGGGCAGCCGCGGCATACTCAAATCATCTTTGAGTAGTCAGTAGGCAGTAGCTACTGCTTGAGTAGGTAAGTAGATAGCAGGCAGTATGCCATTTCGGACACAGCTTCTGTCTGTCCTCGTTTCCCTCCATGATTGAACCAAACGCGCGGCAGCGGAAGGAGCGGAAAGAGCACGCTTCTGCGCAACAGAAATAACCGTCCGTGTCAAACACCGTGCGCTGCACATGGTTCCGGATTTAAACGATTCCTCGAGGCATATAATTTGCCTCGAGGAATTTTATTAATCGAGTTACTCGAGTAATCGTTTCAGCCCTATATTATATATATGGGTTATATTTTTGACCCTGGTAGTTTTTGTTTTTTGTGAAATAATTTTGTTTCTGTGTGCAAAGTAAAATAATGTAAGGATCCCGAATAAAACTAGGATATTTGGAAAACCTGTGTAAAAAAATCAATCTGTTGAACAGCACTTAAGAAATTTTGGGGGGAAAAAAAACAAAAATTTCATAGGGGGGCTAATAATTTTGGCCTCAACTGAAAGTGCCAGTGTAAATATCAGTCTGTTTGATAAGCAGGTAAAACCTCCTCACAGGAGCTTCAGGTTATTAGTGACTAATGTTAAGAAACAAAAAAGATTCAGGAGTTATTAAAAAAAAAAGAAACAGTGAAGCCCCTATCAAAGTCAAATGCTCTGTGCAGATCAATCTGCAGTTTGCTAGATTATGAGATTGAATTATTTGGGTCGTGGTAGACAATGCACTGTAACTCACAATATGATATGGTACTGATACACAGCCTAACATTATTACTTCAATTCTGCTGTTTATATCTTAATAAAATCAGATTTTTGTATTTAATTGAGAGATTTGAAAATGTTCTTCTTTTGAAATTCAGTGCCCACACCATGTTTAAAAAAAATGAAAAGTAAAGAAATGCCTTAAAAACTTCTCAAGAAACATCCTCCAACTAATGATTTTGAGCATGGCTGGAATGAAGAGGTCAGTTCAGAGATGCTGAGTCTCCCAAAGGTAATGATGAGAAGAGGTTCACCACTCTGTGAGACACTGCAAAAGTAAAGAGTTGAGCAGTGTCAGAAGAATGTTCCTGAGTGTAAAATGACAAAGATGTTGGTATTTTATCATGTACAGTACATAATAACTGGGGGAATCCCTGTACAAAAGGGACAAGGACCAAAACCAAGACTGGATGCTGTGATCTTCAGGTTCTCAAATGGCACTGCATTAAGAACAGACCGGACTCTGGAGTCCCTGTGTGGGCTCAAAATCACTTCAAAAACCATTTTCTGAAACCTTGGACCCTGACTCGTCTGGTCTTGAGAGGGTCCAAACATAGGAAGTTCTGTATTGAGCTGTACCTTGATTGTGTGTTTCAGGCCCGGCACTGTGGCTCTGAGAGAGATCCGTCGGTACCAGAAGTCCACAGAGTTGCTGATCCGTAAGCTGCCCTTCCAGCGTCTGGTGAGGGAGATCGCTCAAGACTTCAAGACTGACCTGCGTTTTCAGAGCGCCGCCATTGGAGCTCTGCAGGTTCGTTTACTTCAGAAATTGTATCATAAAATGAATCTGAACGGCTGAAATCTTCTTTTGCTTAGAACTGAGTTGTCTCTCCTTGCAGGAGGCTAGTGAGGCATACCTGGTAGGTCTGTTTGAGGACACCAACCTGTGTGCCATCCATGCCAAGCGTGTCACCATCATGCCCAAAGACATCCAGCTGGCCCGCCGCATCCGTGGAGAACGTGCTTAAATAGCCTCCATAATGTCTCACCTTGGTCCTGTTTTTCTTTACCTCTCCCTGCCCTCACTCCTTCACTTCACCTCCACCACCCACCTCCACCTGTCCCTCTCACCCCCTGTCTTCTCAGTAGACATTAGAGTAACCCTTATTGTAAAGAGATAGAAATATGTTGAAGTCTGGTCTCCATAGGTTTTTTGTCTTCACCAAATGTTTTAGGGTACCTTTTTTTCATGCATGTGAAAGGTTTTGCGGATCAGATGCACACCTGCACACAGACTCAAACATTTCATCTCTGGGTTTGGGTTTTGCCACGAAAGCTCACCTGGATTCTTCCAGTGTGGGCAGCCAGCAAGTGAGCTTGTGGCAAACAGAGCTGAAGGAGCAGAGGGACGAGTACAAGGGACTAGTCTGCTTAAGGGGAGCTGCAACTTCCACAGCAGGGTGCTATTTAAACTAGTCTCAAGGCCTCAGCCCCCGTCCTAACACCTTTCTCTTCCTCCCCTCCTGCCCAGTCCGTCCCTCTACACCCTCTTCTTCCTCCCCTTCTTTATGCAGTGGCATGCTGCACCTCTTTGGGTCCCTCCCTCACTCCTTCGATGTGCTCTGGAGGGGGATGGCAGGGTGTTTGTGTGGATGTGTAAATCTGATCTCACAAACCTCTTGTACTCAACAAACAAGGATCTTTTGGTTGCTTAAGATTATTGACTATTGTTGTGGATATGGTGTTTATTTTTTTTACACATATAAATCATAAATACTTCTCTTGACCACTCTTAAAATCCGTAAATAACAGAAAATCAATAAACATTGTCGACCCAGTGATCAGTTTTTATTTACAGCAATCTGATTTGCAATAGAAAATCAGAAAGGGCTTCTCTGTTTTCAACCTCAAGTCTAAAGGCAGCCTCGGGGGAGCGATGTTCACCATCTGTTCCTCTACTCAGTGTGGATCACACATTATGCTCCTCTCTCTCTTTCTCTCTCTCTCTGTCTCTCTCTCTCTCACTACAGTATGAATTGATATGACAGTGGAACTTTCTCTGCATGTTTTATGCTCTGTGTGTCTTTTAGACTGTTGATCGAAACAAATAATCTGTCCCTTTCTCAAAATTTGTGATACACGATATAACCTCATAATTGTGTTCTTTTATATTTTTCTTATTCCTTGAAATTTTCAGACATATAAATAAGCTGATCTTTGTATTTTCCAAATTTCTCATATTATGGTGGTAATAAATAGGTGTTAAAACAACCTGATCTGCTTTCCCCTCTGGTCTTTTTGCTTCTTTCTGGCTCAGGTATCGTTCAACTGTCAACTCATTTTTTATTATTGCTAGTCTGATGGCTGAAATGCTTTTGGTTTTGCAGATACTTGTGCATATCACTTCTCACATAGCTGGTACTGTTAAATGTTGCTGATTTTGATTGGCAAAAAAACTCTGATAGATAGGTAGGTAGGTAGATAGACGAAATTAAGAAGTGCCTTTTCAGACAGTACATACAGACAGACACTCCTGCTGTGAGGAGGAGCCTTCCGTCCTAGAGGACTTTTTTAAATCCCTGAAAATGCCTTCTGTAAGTGTAGAACTCTTGGCTGAACCGGAAAGGGATTTCTCAGTTATGGAGATAATGTCGGCAATCGTTGCCATGCAAAGTGGCAAATCTCCTGGGCCAGATGGTTTCCCAACCGAATTTTTCAAAAAGTTCTCCAACCAGTTATCTCCTTTGTTATTGTTAGTGTTCAAAGAATCCTTAGTCACCAATTCCTTGCCCCTAACTATGCGTCAAGCAGTCATCTCTTTATTACTTAAAAAGGATAAAAAAAACCTCAATTGCCACTCATATCGTCCTGTCTCGATGCTGAATACAGACGCGAAGATTCTTGCAAAAATTTTGGCGCGTCGTCTTGAAAACATTGTACCTAGTATTATTACATCTGACCAGACAGGATTTATAAGAAATTGCTATTCATTTTTTAATATCAGGTGTTTATTTAATATCGTTTATTGTCCCACTCCACCCGATTCTGGGAACATTGAGGTGATGCTTTCTCTCGATGCTGAAAAAGCGTTTGATCGGGTGGAGTGGGACTATCTTTTCAAGACTCTGGAAGCATTTCATTTCGGTCCTAAATTCATCTCCTGGATTAGAATCCTATACACATTGCCGATGGCTGCAGTTCGCACCAACAATAATTTATCCACCTATTTCGAGCTGAAACGGGGCACAAGACAGGGGTGCCCTCTGTAACCGCTTTTGTTTGCTGTTGCACTTGAGGCAGTGCCCCACCTTTAAAGGAATATACCGGGCAGGTTTGGAGCATAAAGTCTCACTTTATGCCGATGACATGTTATTATTTATATCGGACCCCCTCTCAAGCCTTCCTGAATTATCGACTTTACTCACAAAGTTCGGAAAACTATCTGGCTATAAAGTCAATTTTGAAAAAGTGAACTTATGCCTATCTCTTCTGTAGACAGATCATACTTTGGGACGACCCCCTTTAAATTTAGTTCCAACAAAATAAAATATTTAGGTATTTGGGTCACATGTAATCATAAGGATCTCTATAAGGCTAATTATCATCCCCTCTTAAGTAATCTTAAACAAGACCTGGAGCGTTGGGACCTTCTGCCTCTCTCCTTGGGGGGAAGGATCAACACGATTAAGATGAACGTTCTCCCTAAGTTTCTATATCTATTTCAATGTCTTCCTATTTTTCTAACAAAATCTTTTTTTTCCAAATTAAACAGTCAGATTTCATCATTTATTTGGCATAAAAAGCAGCCCAGGATTAATGAAAATATATTACAGAGGCCTTGCACAATAGGATGTATGGCACTTCCAAATTTTATGTATTATCACTGTGCTGCCAATATAAGAGCTTTGCTATATTAGATGAGAGATGATGGCTCGGATGTTAACAGTGCTGAATGGACAGGGCTGGAGAGGGCATCCATCGGTTCTTCTTCCCCAGCAGCTCTATTTTGTTCCAAATTACCTTTGCATCAGCCTATCTCAGCTTTCACTACTAATCCAGTTGTTATCCATTCAATTAAAACCTGGAACCAGTTTAGAAGGACCTTTAATCTCACTGATCTTTCACTGGCTACACCATTGATAAAAAATCATATGTTTGTCCTGTCAATGATGGATGTTTTTAATGTCTGGGCAAGAAGTGGAATATGTATGTTATCTGATCTTTACATTGAAAATAAGTTTGCTTCTTTTGCACAGCTGCAACATAAATATGGCCCTAACAAATCACACTTCTACAGGTATTTGCAGCTTAGAGGTTTTGTGTCTTCCAACTCTGACTGTTTTCCACTGAGCCCTCCTGAATCTCTGCTTGAAACAATTTTGAAATCTAAATTCAACATAAAAAAAATAATTGGCAGAATTTATACATTACTCAATACACATAACATGAACAGTCTGGACGGCTTAGAATAAAATGGGAAACCGACTTAGATCAAACGATTTCAGAGGAAACATGGCAAAAAATTATTCAGCGAATTTACTCTTCCTCTATATGCCTCAGACACACTGTACTTCAATTCAAAATAGTTCGTCTTCATTGCACCAAAGATAGATTGTCTAGGATTAAGGCAGATTTTGACCCTACATGTGATCGTTGCAGACAAGCTCCTGCTACACTACTGCACATGTTTTGGTCGTGCCCCATGTTATACAGTTTCTGGCATTCTATCTTTGAGGCATTCTCGAGAATATGTGGGAAAACAGTGCACCCATCTCCTTTGATTTCACGATTTGTTGTGGTGCCGCTTTTTCCAGGAACCACCTAGGTATGATGGCCTTCTGCTCTTTGCTGGCCAGGAGACTTATCCTGTTTAAATGGATAGATGCCCCCCCACCCCCCCAACGTATGGCAAATGGATAAGGGAAGTTATGAGTTATGTTCACTTAGAAAAAAATAGATATACTGTAAGAGGGACCACTAGAAAACTGTATGTCATTTGGCAGCCATTTATCTCCTTTGTGGAAGGTATGGCAGCTATTAACATGTCTATGTAACCCAAATGTATGTTTTTTTTTTTTTTCTTCTTCTTTATTTTCACTTCGTTATAGTTTTCTTTTTATTCACCTAGTCTGTGTATATGTCAATCTGGATGTATTGAATTTTTCTTGGGTTCCAGTAAAAGTGGGTGGGGGGCACGGGAAGTTTGTATGTTTGGACAGGAACTAATCTTGTTTGTCCCATGTGTGAATTGTATTTCTTGTGTTATATTTGAAAAATAAAAAAGACCTTGATCCAAAAAAAAAAAGGGAAAATAAAACGGACAGTAAAACCAGTGCAGAGTTAAAACTAGTAAAAGAATTTAAACTACACCCATAAATACATAGGCAACACACAGTGGTGTGCACAGGTAGACACTGGGTGGTGCTAAAGCACCTCCCCTATGTCCTCTGGACCAAGCAAGTGCCCGTTTGGGAATTCACTTTTCTTTTTGTGGCCCATGCTGAGATGATCATGTATGAGTGCTCGTCGATTAAAAGCGTGTGATAATAATGCCCCAATTAATTTTCCCTCCACCCCCCATCCTACCCACGCACACCTCTGTCAATGTGAACGCACAGAGCAGACAGCTGCAGCCCAAATACACCTCCTCGGCTCTTCCCCTGCCCACCAGCCAGGTAACATATGAATGAATGGAGTTGTGTGTGTTGTTTTCCCCCTAAGCCTCAGTTGCTGAGCTGTAACTTGCATTTATTTGTCTTTGTTGTCTCAACACCACACAGCTGGGCATAAATTAGCCGGCTGTTAACCTGCTTAACAAGCTAGACGCGACCCCAAATCAATAATAGATATATGACATGATGATGATGACCACCAGTAGAGTTTGTCATTGGTATCCTACAGCATGTGAATCTATCAGTATACTTATGTAAGATGAATATTTAGCTACAGTTTAAGTTTACAGTCTTATTTACCGTATATTGTTGGTCTCTTTTTATTTACCAATTGCAGCATAATGCCTAGAAAGGAGAGGAAAAGAAGTAAAAGAGAAAGGGAGCTACAACAGGCAGCCCAGGGGAGCAGCTCTCTGCTCTCCTGGATAAAAGCATCCACAGGCAGCAAGGAGGAAGAGCAGGATGAAAGGTCAGAGTCAAGAGTCATGTTCACTGTTTAGAGCATTTTAAAGCTCAGATTTTGAAGTTGAACTGTTCCTCTAATTTTACTAAAATATCTTAAAAGCTGTCTACATTTTATTTTAACTTTAAAAAGTGGTTTGGCTGTACTAAATTAGGCATTAAGCTATTTTAGCTAATGATATTATTTTGTACCAACAAGTTATTTCTATGTTACAAGACTTGCAGTAATCTGTATTTACCTTAATAGGTTATATTCAACCTTAAAAAATAGGCTATTACTAAAACTATTATTATTCTATTCTAGGCAGCTACAACAGGGAAGCAGCAGTGTGAAACCAGTTCAAAGGTCAAGTAATTTTATTGAGATATTGACAGAAACAAATATGCAATTACATTCAACATATGCCTGTAATGTTGATTTATTTTTTAAATCTTACACTGCTATAATAAGGCAGCCGTCAGTTCTACATGTTGCATAAAGTGCCCTTGTTTTTCACTGAGCACCTGCCCCCCAAAATGTGTGTGCACGCCACTGTGGAACACATCATCTGGCTTTCAAGGAGGCGTTGATGGAACGGACAGCGTTTGGGAAAAAGCTGTTTTGCAGTCTTTTTGTCCTGGCGATGGCCCTGTACCGTCTGCCTGATCACAGTCCTTAATGATGTTGGTGGCTCTCCTGAGGCAGTAAGAGCTGCGAAGGTCCTCCAGTGTGGGCAGAGAGCTTCCAATGACTTTCCCAGCCATCCAACAGTCTTTAACTCTAAAAAAAAACAATGGGGATGCAAAGGACAACCCGATCTGACTGAATCTACAGGAAGGAGTCACGGTGTAGGTACACCGAATGGCTTCACTCCACCTGCTATGATAAAACACAACAAAAACAGCTTATGTTGTTGTTGCTGTACCTGTTTATCCTCGGCATCTTTTTCTCTCTGCTTCTCCCTCTATTCCTCTCAGTGTTTCTCCTACAGTACCGGGATACCCCCACCCTGCCAACGAGATTCCAACCCAGAAATTGAAGTCGTAGATTAATATATACATTTAATTTTTATGTTTTAACAAAATCTCTCCGCTCGCTCCCCTCTCTATCTCACAACATACACATAGACTATATATAGAATGGACAGTGTCTGCCTCCTCGCTGGGTGAAGCCACTCTGAGAACAGCACCCTCTGTTGATGGGCTGCAGTATAGGTCATAAACCCCGCCTCCTTATGGGGCTGTGGACAAACTTTAGAAATTTATTACACAGAATATAAATGTTTCTCCCCCCTGGTTGTGATGTTGACATGTAGTTATTGTAAGACTGGTTTGTGCTCAAGTCCTCTTTTTTCTGTACAGCTCCATTTTTAAAAGTTATTAGGGGGTTCATATTTTCTATGATTGACACTTGATACAGCCTATGGGCGTTCAGGGATTGCGTAGCTCTCCCGGGGGATACGCTGTTTGAGCCAAGGATCATCACAGTGACTCTTGGCGACTGTGCGGCCGAATGTGTGCATCGCTACTGTGCAGCGCTGGTTTCAGGAGATGAAGAAAAATCCCGGAAATACCGAGAGCTATTTGGCTTCAAATCTGTATTCAGGCAGGAGGCGAAACCAAGTTGTCCATAGTATATACAGTGTATGGTGCTAACATGCTGCGTCTCTGAATTATGTGTCAGCACCACTGATTCTGGTATTCTGGCCGCGAGCACGTGCCGCTCATACCCTGCCAGTTTTGCATAGGATGGTTTTTCACAACCCCTGGTTCTGGCTCCTTTCCATTGTGTTTGCTGGCAACAATAAAAAAAAAAAAAGGTCATGAAGCACTGAACTGTCCCCGAACGTTCAGCACCCAAATTGATAATATCTGCATTCTTCAAAAAGACAGTGATGGGGACGCCGCACATTCTCTTACATTCTCTCACGGATGCTAACTTCAGCATCTCTCCCAGCCCCAAAAACAGTGTTGGCTCATCAGCGTATTTCTATCCCACAGAGACGATCAGAGTATTTTCAGAGACTGTCTGGATCCAGTCCCCAAGAAACAAAGGTGATGAATGATGTCCAAACTCTAGTGGTGTAGGGTTTTTACAGTCTTTGTTTTGGACTGTCTACCTATTAGGGGCTTTCTTGCAATCAGCTGACCTGTAAAGATACAATCAGATATCAGGCTTCCGTGTCTCAGCAGAACAGTAAAAGTGATCAAACTCATAAAATTTGTACAGTTGAAACTGAAAACCTTCAGAGGCCTTTCTTTCACACAAAATCCTCAGGGGTTTATAAGGATTGTTTCAGTATCAGTAAAACCTGATAAATATCCATCCTTGATGATATGTCTATGATATGTCTATGGAAATTCTGATTAAGCATTTCCACTTATTGTTCTTCCCGTCGGCCATTTTTCTTTATTATTATTCTTCCGTCCCTTTTTTGCCACGCTTCTCCTCCTTCAAACTTTGTGCCATTTCAACCGTTCAAACTTTAAACTGTTCCACCAAACTGTAGTTTTTTTTTTTTGTTTTTGTGCAAAAATTTTAACATTGAAGTCAATGGGGAAAGCTTCCAGTTCTTCCTTTTATTCTTCCACCTTCAAAGCCTTATAACTTCAGCATACTTTCACCTAGAGACTTCATTTTGCATTAAAATGTTCATTGTCTTGTTGACTATTAAAGTTGTACTCAGTTTTTTTATATCTTTTACAGTTTTCCCACAATTTAGCTTTAAGCAACTCGTGGTTTTCAGGTTTTCAGCAAATTTCAGGCTTTATAATGGGTGTGTATTGGAGAGGATAGAGTTATGATGTCATCGCTAGAGCGGACAGCTCCTCTTTTTTCGACAGAACCTCGCTCAAATATATCGCTCCCATGTCCACAAATTTCACTCCACAGCCATAAAAAATACATAAAAATGGAGGTATATGTGTCCTGCTTCTCACAAAAGAGGTTTCAAATCATTAAATCCTACCCCTTGGCCAGCAGGTGACCAACTGTCCAAATAGGCGGAAATCTCTCCCATTAACCCTTGTATATTTTTCTCCAAGAAAATCCTGATTATCACTCAGGCTCAGACTTTTTTAACTCGCTGTTGTGGCCACATTTTTTGGAGTACAGACATGAAAAACACATCATTGTGTTCATGAAGGGCGGAGGATTCATACGATGTTCTTATTTTCATTCTGGGATATACCACATTAAGGTTTCTGGAGTGGCAAGGCCTTGTCTTTGATGCTATAACTTTTTTTCTATTAATGCCCTTGCAAAGAAATTCCTAGAAAATGTGTATTTTGTGATGAGGCATGATATACATGCATTCCAATGGGAAACCACTTGTCTTTTACATATATCCATATCAGTGGGAAAAAATGAATTTCAGCAAAGACTGTTTTCCCCCTTTTCTGAAGACATTAAAGATGCACTGTGCACTTTCAGCCACAAGGTGGTGCCTTTTTTTCCATTGATAATAGAGGCTGATCTAGCCAGGTGGTCAAAACCCCATTATTCCTAATGGGAATTTGGCAAAAAATTACAATATTCAGAAATCAAAAAATGCACATAAGTTCATCACTAATAAAAGGAAGCAACTTTTTATTTTATTTTTATTATTTTACTTTATTTGGGCATGAAACTGTCTCACATTTGTTATTCTGGTGGTTTTTTGTTTTTTTTTACCATTTTGGTCAGTTTGACACGCCCGTAAACCACAGCCTATGATAGATGCAGTATTTTGGAAGGAAAATCTGCTACTCATTTGTAATATACTGCCACAAGAGTTCAAATCAGATTTTTCCCCCCATTTTTTTGCATTTTATCTTGAGTCTATTTCCAATCCAACTTTTTCAAGTTATGAATGCTGAAATCTCATATGTTTTCATATCCGTTATTGACCTTCAGTGAGAGGCCATTTTTTGCAAAGAACCAAAATTAGACTGTAGAAGTGAACTAGAAAAATTGCATTTCCTTGCAGACAATGCGTGGAAATGCTGAGTGCTGAAAGACGAAAAAAAGAATTGCAAAACTGCTAAAAAAAAATGGAGGAAGGTTTAAATGTAAAATTGGTTAAAGGGCTGGAGAAAGAAAAGTAGAAGTTGGATAAAAGTGAAAATTGCTGAAGTACAAATATGAATGTGCTTCATAAATTAATGAAAAATAAGGCTAGAAAAACTGTCTGAAATTGCAAAAAAATTGGATAAGGAAGAAAATTACCTTAAAATACAGAAAAGTGAGAAGTGGCATAAGTTTAAGTTGTAGTACTAGAAGTAGTATGATAATAGGTATTTGTAGTAGTGATATTAGTAGTCATGTAAGCAGTAAGAAGAAGTAGAAGTCAAAGCAGTAGAGCTCGTGGTAGAAGTAAGAGTAGAAGTAAAAAAAATATTAAGAGAAGCAAGAGCAGTGGAGGTAGAAGTGAAGATACAAGTTAAAGTGATATAAGTAGTAATTGTAGTGGTAGAACTGGGATTTTGTTTGAAGAATTAAAACATTCATAAGTTATGAGAATGATTTTGAAGTGGGAAAATTTTTAAATAATTATAAGTCCTAAAGTGTCAAACAGGTTTGAAGTATCAGAAAGGTTTGAATCAGTTTGAATAAGTTTGGATTTGTCTGAAGGATTTGATAAAGCATGAATAATGAGAATGATTTTAAAATGGGGAAAAGTTAAATTAATAAAAATCCTGAGTACACCCCATAATATCCTCAATGAGCTGGATTTTTGGAGCCCTGAATGGTTTCTGTAGGTCAAAGTTTGTGGTAGGAGAAATTTGTCAAGTGCTCTGGTAAAGGGTTTTAAACGTAACCCCCAGTGCTCTGTGTACTGAGCCAGGCTTCATGTGTCTCATATGGCCGTAAGAAGCTAGCCTGGCTGGGCCATCCAGTTGCGTGAATCACTTGTCGTTCCTTCCCACAACAGTCTGGACTTCGGCCAGTTGGGAGCCCTAAAAGTGGGCGGGAGTACTTTCCTTGATAGACAGACTACTGTAGCCCCTGATTGGTCCATGTGTAGATGGAGACGTCTAACATATGCTGCGAGACTTTTCAAAGCGCTGTTTATTCAGAACGCCGTTAATTCTGCAGTTGACTTTGCAAAGTCGGCAGAAATCGTTTATATCCGCAGAAAAAGACGTAAAAGACACAGTTTGCTCATACACGTTGAAATATTACCAAACCTTTACTTGATGATTGAGAGCCCAGCAGGGAACACAGTTGCGCACTGTGATGACGTCAGATGTTTGGTTACGGTGATTGGTTACAGTAGTCTGTCTATCAAGGAAAGTACTCCCGCCCACTTTTAGGGCTCCCAATTGGCCGAAGTCCAGACTGTTGTGGGAAAGGAACGGCAAGTGATTCACGCAACTGGATGGCCCAGCCAGGCTAGCTCCTGACGGCCATATGAGACACATGAAGCCTGGCTCTGTACACAGAGCACTGAGGGTTACATATAAAACCCTTTACCAGAGCACTTGACAAATTTTGGCCCCTATCTCCTACCACAAACTTTGACCTACAGAAACCATTCAGGGCTCCAAAAATCCAGCTCATTGAGGATATTATGGGGTGTACTCAGGATTTTTATTAATTTAACTTTTCCCCATTTTAAAATTATTCTCATTATTCATGCTTTATTAAATCCTTCAGACAAATCCAAACTTATTCAAACTGATTCAAACCTTTCTGATACTTCAAACCTGTTTAACACTTTAGGACTTCTAATTATTTAAAAATTTTCCCATTTCAAAATCATTCTCATGATTTATGTATGTTTTAATTCTTCAAACAAAATCCCAGTTCTACCACTACAATTACTACTTATATCACTTTAACTTGTATCTTCACTTCTACCTCCACTGCTCTTGCTTCTCTTAATATTTTTTTTACTTCTACTCTTCTACCACCTTTTTCCCTGTTTAAATTAGTTTTAATATTTATGCATTATTCCATCCTTCAAACAAAATCCCACCTCGAGTACTACAACTACTGCTAATGTCAATTAAACTAGTACTTTTCCCTCTACTTCAACTGCTATTGCT